GGGCGGCTCCGGAAGCAGAGCCCCGGCCTGCAGCGTGCTCTCGCTGGCAGCTCTCACCCGGCAGCTCGAGACACCCGCGTCGGGAGAGAGGAGCCCCCCCTGCCGGCCGCTGCTGCCTCACGCGCGCCCCTCCGCAGCGCCACTACATGGACGGCCAGACCCCCTGCCTCCTGGTCTGCGGCAAGGCTGACCTGCCCGCCGGCGTCCCCCCTCCGGGCCTGTCCCCAGCCCAGTTCTGCCTCCGGCACCGACTGCCCGGCCCGGCCCCATTCTCCTGTGCCGGCCCTTGCGAGCCCAGCAGCGCCGTTTTCGCCCGACTGGCCGCCATGGCCGCCTTCCCGTGGGTACCGCGGCCCGGCCCCTGCGCGGGTGGGCAGGGCCTCGCCTGCGGGCTGGGCAGCCGCGGGCTCCGGGGGCGCCTGGCCGCAGTCCCCAGCAGCCTCTGTCTCCCGCAGGCACCTGGCGCCCCAGGAGCTGCATGCGGGGTCCTGCTGGCTCCGCCTGGCACTGGGGGCGGTGGGGGCCGCCGTGGCCGCGATGCTCAGCTTCTCGCTCTACCGGGCCCTGGTGAAGACGCGCTGAGCTGGGGGCCAGCCTGCTGCCCTTGTCCTCCTGGGCACCTCATGAGCGGCAGGGCAGGAGCGCGGTGGAGCCTGGCCTGGGGCCGGTGGGTGGGCAGGGCGCGGCTTCCCCCATTAAATTCGCTGGTGTCCGTCTCCGCAGATGGCCTCTATGAATCTCTTATCCCTGGGCTCAAGTGTCTACTCTGCCCCAGCCCGACCCCCACCCTGAGCCCCCCCACCCCGGAGCTGCTGACCCTGGCCCCGGGGGCCTGCCAACGCCCCCCACCCCCTGCTGCGCACCCTGCATGGAGGGTCAGCACAGACCCCGGCCTGAAAGGGGCGCCGCAGACGCCTGCTACCCGGGCATCTTGGCCCGTGGCCTGGGGTGGACAGCCGGGACAGACAGGGCTCCCCCTGAGGCCCTGGGGTAGCTACAGTGACACACCCCTGCGCCCTGCAACCTGGGCAGCCTGGTACCTTCCCTCGCGGGTCCCCACCCTGTCCCTAGCTGCACCCCTGCTCACCCTGGGTCTCCCCTGCGTCCTCCGGGCCTGTCTGGAGTCTCCTGGAGCCGGTCACCCCTGTGCAGGCTGCGGAAGCACCGGGCGCTCCAGCTCCAGGTCAGGCTGGTGTCCCCTTTCTTGCTACCGACCTGCTGGCCCCCGCGGAGGCCGCCAGACGCCCGGGTGCTCTCAGCCCCTTGGCTGCCTCGCCCTGCTCTGCCGCCGGGAGCGGGGCGCGCGTGCCCGGAGCGTGTCCG